GGGAGAAATCAAATACTGTACAAAAATGAACAACCAGGTAACTAATATAAAAAAAATTTTTTTAAATAAATGCAGTTTTAACACTAAAAACCCTAATTTTCTGCAACATATTTTTTTTTAAGATTTATTTATTTATTTATTTATACATACATACAAGCACTGGGTACAGTCAGAAGCGCGGGAGGGTGAGAGAATTCACCAGAGTCAGAGCGGGGAACAGAACAGGCAGATGGACGAAGTACACTGCTGAGGGGAGCAGCGGGCGACAGGAGAGGTCTGTGCGCCATGCGGGACCCTCCTCCGGTGGGTGGGGAGCAGCCGGGGATCGAACCGGCGCTGCAGAGGCTGCGGGCAGCTTCGCAACCCAGCGCTCAACCGCTGCGCCACCAGGGAGAACCGCTGCGCCACCGGGGCGGCCCTCTGCAACATATTTCTAAATGTTCTGTGCTCCATGTTCTTTTGTACATTTTGGACCTCGTAGCACTTTGTTTTTAACTGGCATCGGACTAGTTAATTCTGAGGTTTCTTAACACTGATTCTAGAGCCTTCACTCCCTGCTTTCTGCCTATTTTCTCTGTTAGTGCTATTTTAACGAATGTGTTTGTCTCATTAGCTGACTGTCTTCTTTCCCCAGAGGTAGCCTAAGGAATGGGAGCAGAACCTGGGGCTGGGCAGACATGCTGCTTTTTCTTACAGAAATAGATCATTAACTTCAGATCATTAAATGCAATTTGTCAGCTTATTTCTTTCAAACTGCATATTTGGAAGTCATTTTCCAATGGTCACCACTGACCAGCTGAAATTTTTATGTATATGAAGAGAATAGATGAAATTGATGAGAACCCTTTCAATTCTTCCCAGGAAATTTTCTCTATCATGTGATAATTTTCTCCATATCAAGACAATATATATTTTTAAAGATTTATTTATGTATACATACAAGAACTGGGGTATAGGGCAAGGGTGCAGGGGAGGGGGTTTTGAGAGGATTCACTGGAGACAGAGTGGGAGAAAAACAGGCAGACTGATTGAAATACACTGCTGAAAGGAACACCGGGGTGGACAGGAGAGGTCTGCTGTGCCATGTGTGTTAGCTCCCTGGCCAGGGATGGAACTCGTGCTGCAGTGGCTGGCAATAGCTTGATAGTGCTGTGCCTTTAACTCTTGCGCCACCAAGATAATATCTTAATATTAACAAAGAGTTTCTATAAGGAGTTAGGAGTTTATAAGATAAGAGATATCACATAAATGGAATGAATTCATTTGGGGCAATAAAATATGAATACAGGGAATATTACATATACAATGGAGCTGACATCTCCAAAGTCTGTGGACTTATTCTCACTGGTGTGTAGCTAAAGACAACGGTCAGCACTTTTTTTTTAAAGATTTATTTTATTCATTTATGCATACAGAAACTGGGTGCAGGCCAGAGGTGTGGTGAAAGGGGACGTGAAGGAATGCACCAGAGACAGAGTGGGGAGCAGAAAAGGCAGATCTACTGATATACACTGCTGAGGGGAACAGCTGGCAAGACAGGAGAGGTCTGCTGCGCCATATGTGGGTTAGCTCACTGGTCAGGGATCCAACTCATGTCACAGTGGTGCCGATAGCAGTTAAAGCTGAGACTTAAACCACTGTGTCACCAGGGAAGCCCCTGAATTTGTGAGTTTTTGCATGTTCGTTACATCTGAGATGATGAAAAAATTTTTAGGGGTAAACTGTTAGTCCCCTCTGAGAGAGAGGACTATGGATGTATCAATAAAATCTACTATAACACTATAAAAAATCACTGATAATTCACATTTCTGACAGATTCTTAATTCCACCCCATGATATTACCAACCAATTTATTTCATAGAAAATGGGATGGGATTAAAATTATTCTCTGGAACAGGCAATTTTCATTTAATTCCCCAAATCATATATGGTAAATTGCTGTTTTTGGGTGGTGCCCAGAGCTGACCATTGGATGACTGGGAAGTAGAAGAAAGTAAGTAAGGGTATGATTTACAAGTGAAGCTTCAACTGGGACTAGGGGACCAATGGGAACATGGGGTATAAAATGTATCCTGGAGGGAAGTGGATGTGTACATGCACAGAAATATAAATGAGACCTGTGGAGTCTGGGCAGAGCAATGACCATATTCATATCCCTAATTCTCTAAGAGGAAATCTGGACATTTATACACACAGAAAGTTACTGTACTTTGTCAAGATTACTGACCATCACTTCTCGGCCTTTTGGCTAAGATCAAGTGAAGATTACTGACCTATTAAGTATTAGAACTTTGACTTAAAAAGTTCTCCTCTAACCAAAAGTGCCTCCCTTTCCTCAATATCAGTTATATACATCATACATTGTTTAACCATGGAGAAAACTGGGGATATATTCTGAGAAATATTTAGGCAATTTCATTGTGCAAATGCAACATTAGCAGTGGATTTTGTACATGTAGGGGCCATGGTGAACAAGATAACACAAGATGAAGTCAAGCACAAGGGAAATGATACTATCTAGGGACAGTAAACACATGTATGAGACTGCCACCTGTGAAAACACTGCAGTGTCACTGGGCGATAGGAATTTGGGGATCACTGTTGCATGTGTGGTCTGTTGATGATAAAACAACGTAAGACTGTGTGTAGAAACATATTCTGTATTTATATAAATAGACATCCTTACCTAGCTTCCTGAGGTTGAAAGCTACCAGGAATTGCCAGGAAACTTATTTGGGACTGTCTAGAAGACCAGTCTGAGAGAATGTGAGCCATACACATAATTTAAAATTTGCTAGCAGCCCTAATGAAAAAGTAAAAGAAACAAGTGAGGGGCCCACCTGGAGGCCTAGGGGTTCAGTCTCAGCATTATCACCACTACAGCCTGAGTTTGAGCCCTGGCAAGAGAGCTAACCCACATATGGCGCAGCAGACCTCTCCTGTCTCATCCGATGCTCCCCTTAGCAGTGTATTTCAGTAAAATCTGCCTGTTCTGCTCCCCACTCTGTCTCTGGTGAATCCTCTCACTCCCCACACTTCTGGTCTACACCCCAGTTCTTCTACCCAAAAATTTAAAAAAAAGAAACGAGTGACATGAATAATTTATCTATATATTAAAGTATAATTACTTACAAAGATAATAACAAGTAAAAGTGTGTTATTTTTCACTTGTTAATATATTAAAGTGTTTTTAGTAATATACTTTATCTAACCCAGCATTTTATTATTTCAACTTGCAATCAATATTTAAAAATTTAATGAGATATTTTATATTCTTTTCTCATAGTCTTTTAGTGTATTTCACACTATTGCACATCTCAACTTAGCTGTGAATTTTTCAGATACGTTAGATATGAATTTAGATTCCCTAAAATTTGCAGTTCATATAGTCAAGTCAGCCCAAACATACTTAAATAATATTTTCTATATGTTTTTCTAATATGTATAATAATGTTTATTAATTTAAATCAATTAAAATTAAATATTAAAAAAAGATTCAGTGTCTCATTCCCACTTGCCACATTTCAAATGCACAAAAGTTTCCTCTGGCTAGTGGTTACCTCATTAAACAGTATAGAAAACCTAACCAGGCAATCAATCAATAAACAGTGAGTGTCTGCGAAGTATTGTACATAACAGAAACACAGTGAGCAAAACAGACTTGGCCAGGAGCAGTTAACTTCAAAGTCTTTGTAATTGCAGTTGCTCAGAAAGAATGAGAATTATCTGGTTAATAGTTTGGGTTCAGAGCTAGTGAGGAAGAAGATAGGACTGGCTTTCGCTTTATCTTAGCTAAACCGCCTACATGCAATACTTGATTTTCATCTCAGAAATACACACCAGAGATTTGGTTACCTGGTTTCAATGCATATTGTAATCTGGTGAGAAGCTTTACAAAAAAATGAAGAGCATTGATAAGAGACACTTTTGACACCATAACAGATGGTGCTGGAAGGTAAGATGTGAAAGCACTAGGAAGACTCACATACCTTCAAATATAGCTTTAAAGCAGACCTTAATTTAAATGTTAAATTAAGATTATGGTCAAAGGAGGGTCTCCTGGTGGTGCAAGAGATTAAGTATCAGCACTATCAAGCTATAGGCAGTCACTGTGGCATGAGTTCATTCCCAGGCCAGGGGGCTAACCCACATGGCGCAGCAGACCTCTCCTGTCTCGCCCAGTGCTACCCTCAGCAATGCATTTCAGTCAATCCTCCTATTCTGTTCCCCAGTCTGTCTCTGGTGAATCCTGTCACCCTGTTGCACCCCAGCTCTTGTATGCATAAATAAATAAAATAAATCTTTTTTAAAAAAAGGATTATGCTCAAAGGAAGTGAGCACATTTCCAATAGATATGTACAAGAGTATTTACAGCATCACTAATTCCTAAAGCCAAGAACTGGAAATTATCCAAACATACTGTAGCATGAGTTCAATTCCCATCCAGGGAGCTTACCCACATGACACAGCAGACCTCTCCTGTCCCGCCCTGCTGCTCCCCTCAGCAGTGTATTTCAGTCAATCCTCCTGTTCTGCTCCCCACTCTCTTTGGTGAATCCTCTCACCCCCCTCACCTCTGTGTGCTTTCTGTATGTATGTTTTACTTTAAATATATATATTTAATTCATTCATTCATTTAATTGACATTTTCTTCTGAAGACCAACAGATTTTTGTCAATCATTCTGGAATTTTAAAGCCAAGCTGGCATATGTAAGAAAGTCAAAATCATCATTCTACTCTATGATTCTACCTTCTTAACATCTTTCTTAGGTGGGGAGGAAAGAAAACCAAGTTCATCATTGAGTCTGGAAGTCAACAGAGGTGATTAAAAAAAGAGATTTAATCCTTACTGAAGTTCCTCTGTCAGGCATGTCTTTCTCTTATTTCTGCCCAATGAAATCTTAACTTCAACTTCCATTTAATGAAAACTTCCTCCATGAAAGATTTTTTTTGATTGCTCTAAATAAGAATTCTTTCTCCTTCTAAACTTAGGGGACTTATACAAACCTGACAGTGGAGACACTGTGATCACAAAGGCGGTTTTCCCAGGGCAGGTTCATCCACTTCATTCCAGGTATACTGGCCCCTGCAATTTCCTCCACTGCAAGAAACTCTGCTGTATAATCTGCAGTAGTAGGGGACTGTTCACACTCTCCCCTGATCATAAGAAAAATAAAAATATAAACTTTAAAAAATAAAAATAAATAAACTTGGGACTTGTTCTATTCATCATATATTACCCAGTGCTATAGCAATTTCTAGAAGGCTGTGCAGGGTGTAGTGCCTGGGCAGACAGTCATCCAGGGTTTAAGATCTCCCTCTATAACTTCTGTGTGACCTGGAGCAAATTGCTTCATCACTATGCATTTTTTTCCCTCAGTTGTAAAATGGAGATGATAAGAATAAGATCTCTCCAGTAAGCTGTTGCAATAAGATAATGGATGTACTGCTGCTGGAAATATGATTTCTGGAAATGTAAACAATTATCATTATTGAGTATTATCTATTCTAGTTGATAAGAGATTCCTGAAGAATATGGAATATAATTTAGATACCTTAAAATGAACAAACTTTTTTTACGCACATCCCAAGTTGATTTACCTTAAACATACCTATGTTTTGGGACCTCTCTCATGGGGCAAGGAGTGAAGCGTCAGCACTACGAAGAAATCTGTACCTACCGCAGCACAAGTTCAATCCCTGGCCAGGGAGGTGACCCACATGGTGCAGCAGACCTCTCTTGTTTTGCCCACTGCTCCCCTCAGCAATGCATTTCAGTTAGTCTCTGTCTCTGGTGAATCCTCTCACCCCCCTTCACCTCTGGCCTGCACCCCAGATCTTGTATGCATAAATAAAATAAATCTTTAAAAGAAATTGAAACAACACCAACAGCTTTGAACTTACATCTTCGTATAACTAAGGATCATTTCTTGGCTCTCCTTTATAACAAAACTCCTTGAATGAAATGTCTAGATACAGCCTCCAAATACAATTTCACTTTTCCCATTCTGTGCTGAACCACATCAATCAAGTCTTAATCCCCAACTCTCCTTACACATAAGTCTTCTTATACTTTGACAATGATCTGGAAGTTTCCTACATGGTTGCATTATGAGAAATAAACTTCTGCTTCATTGAGTCATTGTATTTTGTTTTTAATCACAAAAGGTTATACTAGCTTAAGTAATAAAGCTAAAAACATTCATTTTATATACTTTCTCTATATTCGCACCCTAGCTGTCTATTCTACAACCAATTGAACGCATAGTAAGCAATTCAAATTCAATATGTCAGAACAAAACTTCTAATTCCCATCCTTAAGCAGTCTCCTTCTCTTGGAAAACAACCCTCCATTCTTACTCGGTTTCCAAACATGAAGTCATTCCTGAAATCTCTCCTCTCATATCCCACATTGAGTCTACCAGGAAAGGTTGCCAACATCTCTTGTCAGATTATTACAATAGCTTTCTAACTGGGCTCCCTGTTTCCTGACCATGTCCCAGTCTATTCTCAACCCAAGAGCCAGAATAACCATCTAAAAGCATAGGTCAGTGAAAATCACTGTTCCACACAAAAATTCCCCCAGAGACTTCTCATCTCTTTCAAAATAAAATCTCAAGTTTTTACCTTGACCTGCAAAGACAAATGGTATTGCTCTATTTCCTGTCTGACCTCGTCTTTCACTGAATTCCTCTTCCCTTGCTCTACCTGGGCGGTGGGACCTCCCTGCTCTTCCTCACACACCACAACCACTTCAGTATCCAGGCTTGAACTTACTGCCTCTTGCCTAGAAGGCTCTCCCCACCCCCGCAAACCCCCACACCCCCAACATAATTACATGATTCACTCCCACACTTCCTCAGTCTCTCCTCAAATTTCAAACCATTTCCCTTGGCTATTAATTCAATCATGTATTGACATAAGAAATTTCCAGGTAATAGATACTGTGCTGCTAAACACGAAGATAATGATATGGACTCTGCCCTCAAGGTACTGCTAATTCAGCTTTGAATGAATAAATAAAAATAAAATCTTTCTGAAAAAATTTAGGGGAAGGCAGGTGCTACCAACAGCAGGTGGACAGAGATAAGCTAGCTGTTAAATGTCCTGCAACGGACAATACTATATCTGACAATTATGTAGCCCAAAATGTCAATAGTGATGCAGTGAATAGTCAACAGAATACAACCTAAGCCGTATGAGCTTTAGCTTAAGACCCTAGATGCTTCTACTTTTGCACTCTTGGAAGCAAGGTAGCCAGACTTACTTATAAGGCAGCTGAGACTCCACAGAGAGACCACCTGCAGGCACTCATGAAGAGGGAGCTATGCAAAAGCTATATGGAGTAGAACTGAGAGCTCAGCTGATAGCAAGAACCAACTTTCCAGATAGCTGATCCTAGGCAAGCTCTTCATCAGCCCCCAATCATTTAAGATATCTGTGCCGAGGTGCCAGACATGTAAACTAAGAAGTTACCAAGAATGTTCCAGTACCAGCAGACATTACAGGGAGCAGAGATGAGCTGTCCCCACTAAGCCCTGTCCAAATTACAGAAGCATTCAGTAAGTCAATAAAATGTTGATTGAAATCACTAAATTTCAGGATTAGTTGTTACATAGATGAAACAGTAGCCAACATAATAGGCACTCTTCTAAGCATATTTGAACTGCAACCCTATGAAACGGAACTTGTTATTATCAGTGTCACTTTATCTAGGAAGAATCCTAAGCACAGAGAGCTTAAGTCACTACCCAAGGTTAACACAACTAGAAGAGTTGGGCATTGAACCCCAGCAACCTGACTCCAGAGACTTTATCTTAACCATCCTGCCATAGAGTCTCTCTAGTTATGTATTCATTTATCAAATATATAATGAGAACGTACCTGTACCAACTGCTGTCTCTGTACATGGAATTCAAGCAGAGACCAGAACAAACAAAAATTCTGGTAAATCTCATGAGACTTACTTCCAGTGAGGTCTGAGAAGCCATAGAAGTGTACCATCAGGCATCTAGACATTGTTTCCTTGACATTGGAGGCATTTATTCTTTCCACTGGGGAATTACATTTCTTTTGGGTACAATTCATTAAGACTATTATTCAATATTGCTGTCCCTCCCTTAGCCAAGTCAGGCTAAGTATTCCCATCCTGGGATTTGAATTTTCAGGAAAGCAGTAAAACAAAAAAGGCTGAAAATAGCTAGAACTCACTCATTCCAACGGTGGTTCCTATTCAGAAATTCCTCCTATCTAGACCCCTACATCTGCCGATTTGCAACACATTTATGAGTATTACTCTGTAGAAATTTTGTTGATTCTTTGAGTCAGCTGACATCTTCCTTATAAATTCCTAAGTGGAGTTAGGCTAAGACTATTCTGATTCTGGGGGCCTCCCTGGTGACCCAAGGGGTTCAGCACACACTATGAAGCAATCCACAGCTTCTGCAGCACGAGTTCAATATCTACCAGTCCAGGGAGGAACACACATGGCGCAGCAGACCTCTCCTGACTCGCCCGCTGCTCCCTTCAGCAGTGTATTTCAGTCAGTCTGCCTGTTCTATTCCCCACTCTGTCTCTGGTGAATCCTCTCACCCTCCCTCATATCTGGTCTGTACCCCAGCACTTGTATAAATAAATAAAAAATAAATCTTAAGGGCCTCCCCTGGTGGCACAGCGGTTGAGCGCTGTGCTGCAAAGCTGCCCGCAGCCTCTGCAGCACTGGTTCAATCCCAGGCCACTGGGTGAGGGTCCCACATGGCGCAGCAGACATCTCCTGCTGCGCCTGCTGCTCCCCTCAGCAGTGCATTTCGTCACTCTGCCTGTTCTGTTCCCCCACTCTGGCTCTGGTGAATTCTCTCACCCTCCTGTGCTTCTGACTGTAACCAGTGCTTGTCTAAATAAATAAATAAATCTTTTAAAAAAAAAAAAGAACTGAGGATTCTTGTAAAAAAAAATAATAAATCTTAAATAAAAAATGACTATTCCGATTCTTAGATGAAAGGACTAATTGCAACTCTGGGCTTCAAAAGGTGTCTGGACCCAGCGGGAGAAGCTGGTAGGAATAAAATAGATAGTAGTGGTTTCCCTCAAATATCTTCACTTCTCCATTAACTTCATCTCTAATTTACTGATATGAGCAACTTATGTCTCCCTAATCTTATGTAAAGTGTTAAGAAAACAGTTTCAACCCTCTTTCTTCAAGCATTATTGCTGTAATAAGTTATTTCTGCTTTGAAATTCTGAAACAACCATTGAGAATAATAGTTTAAAGCAGAGACTGAGACATGGGACACTGGTTAATAAAGCCACAACAAAAACTCAAAATTAGGGCCTCCCCTGGTGGCGCAGGTCGTTGAGTGCAGCACTGTGGAGCTGTCCGCAGCCTCGCCAAGCACTGGTTCGATCCTGGCCAGCCAGCGGGAATCCCACATGGCGCAGCAGACCTCTCCTGTCTCGCCCGCTGCTCCCCTCAGCAGTGTATTTCAGTCAGTCTACCTGTTCTGTTCCCCACTCTGTCTCTGGTGAATCCTCTCACCCTCCTGTGCCTCTGGCCTGTACCCTGATTCTTATATGTATGAATAAATAAATCTTTTTAAAAAAAACCCTCAAAATTATGTAGAAACCCAAGTATAGGACTAAATCTGTTCTCAGAACCTTGCCAGCAGTACATGAAAAAGGAGATTCCCAGCCCCTCCTAGACTTCTTGGGTCAGATCTCCAGGGTGGAGATAACCCCATTTTTGTTAAAATGATTCTGTCAGTGATTTTGATGCTCTCTAAAGTTTGATAATCACAATGTCCAGATCTGGGCTATTGTCCCTTCAAAGGGTACTTGTCACACTTCAACAGAACGATGTATTATCTTGCTAAAATGCACAGTCTGATTCAGAAGTTTTGGGGTAGAACCTAAGATTCTGCATTTCAGACCAGTGGGCAAATAATGCCTTTGCTGCTCAGACCACATTATGAGTAGCAAAGCCCTAGAGCATTCTGGGTCATAGAGTCTGGGTGTAACCAATGCTGAGGCTAGGAATCAAATGGCACAGACCAAGGAGGGAAGCTGAGAAATAGAGCCTGTGAACTGACAGAATGAAATCACAGAGCCTGCAACTAGACTCTTAACCACCGAGATGCTAACATCCTGTGGCTTAAACTGAGCAA